CTTTTGCACATGCTATTCTCAGTCTAGAACAACCTTCCTCTCCTTCTTCACTTAGCTAATTTTTATTTACTTTTCAGAGCCAGCTTGTCACTTCTAGAAAACCTTCCTTGTTACTGTTCCTTTCCCTAGACGTTCTCTGCAGCCCATGAGTTATGTACCACTCTTATTTGTTCCTACAAGACCGCAGACTTTCCCTATCACATTACTTCTTGTGCTGCCTTGCAATGTGGTTTAAACATCTTTTTCTTACACTGCAAAGACAGAGCAAGGAATTTATCATCACATCTCCAATATCTAGGACAGTTTCTGGCATTTTGTGGGTGGTTTCACAATTTTTTTTCTAATCCAAATAGAAAACAATTTCTACAAATGTTAAATATCAGACAATGGAATAAAATACTATCTTGTAGCTTTACTCTACCACTACTATCAAAGCCCAGGAAGAAGAAAATACTCTGGACTGGAGTGCAGTGTCTCCTCATAGGCATGATCATAGTAGCTCATTGCAGCTTTGAACTATAGCAAGCCTCCTGCCTTAGCCTCCCAAGTAGCTGGAACTACAGGCACGTGCCACCATGCCTGGCTAATCTTTTAACGTTTATTTTGTAGAGACAGGGGTCTCACTATGTTGCCCAGGCTTCTCTCATACTCCTGGTCTCCAGCAATCTTCCTGCCTCAGCCTCCCAAAGTGTTGGGATTATAGTGTGAGCCATTATGCTCAGCCTGTATTAGATAACTTTCTGTTATCCTGTATGAACAGAGGCCATTCAGACTCCGGATTTAGAAAAACTTGGATTCACATCCTGATGACATGTATATCTGGGCACTAACTGTGAATCTGGACAAACTACTTCACTTCAAAGTCCTCTCTTTTATGTAACAGAAATATAATAATACCTGCCTTTATAGGGTTGCGGTGAGAATTTAGCAAAGTGCCTGACACACAAATGCTCCATATATGTAAGCAAAATATGTTAACAGAAAATTTAGCATTTCTGTTAAGAAAATGTTATAATCCAGAGATTACTGAAAACTCTGGAAAAGGTATTAGTAGCTTACCTCAACTTTTTTATTCAAATCTTTACATTCTTGCACTAAACAATCTTTGGTTCCGTAGAATAAGTAAACAGCCTATAAAAAATAGATGGAAAATATGATATCCAAACAATCTAACAAACCCTGTAAACATTAAGAAAAATCATACTGTACCCAGACGTTCTGACACGCATGCTGAACTGTGTTTCCTTAGAGAGGACTAGGTATGGAAAGAAGGGGAGCAAAAGGGATGCTTTGGTATGGAACCTCTGGCCCCGCCCACTACCTCCATCTTAATTATTCAAAGGTTAAAATTAGAACCTTCTGGG